CGGAGCTGCTGCCCGCGGCCCCGCTCCCGGGCCGGGAAACCCCCGCAACCGGGAGCCAGAGCAGCTGCAGCGATTCATTACAGCCCGCAAATGGGTAAAGAAATACACAGCAACGAAACGCTAACCTTGCTGTAATTGAGGAATGATAAAAAGACATTCTTAATGTAAAAGTCAAAAACGTTCAGCTATCCCCACTGTGAGACAGCTTCTCTCCAATTAATTTACAGCGCAGGAAAAATGAACATGTTTTTCTTAGGAAAAGAAGTGGCACCATGTCCAACTTCTGCAATTAATTGTTTTACGTACATATAGGTTTCTTCAAATAATCTTACACATTATAATAGATGCCTGCCATAGATAATACTTTCTTTGTAACTACATACATTGGTCTCGTCACAGCTGTACAAACTCCTGCGTTTTGGCATGAAATACGTAACTGAAGGTATGAAGAATGCTTGGTTTTTACTTGAATCTGGTAGAAATACAAAGAATAAAACCTCCCTGAACTGTCCCAGTAGTAAAAGCAAAAACTGTAATATTGCTGCAACTGAAAACACAGCCCTGCCCAACCTGCTCTGTAAAGCTTTGGGAATGAAGCCCAAGCTGGAGGGGGTTCATGCCCCTAAGGCAGATTCAGGACAAGGAAACACAGCCCAAAGTTACCGGTGAAGCCTTGTGTCATGGGTAATGAACGTTACACAATCACCATCAGGATTTAAACCCATTAGAAGCTGGGAGTCAAATACCTCAAATCACCTTTGTTACAGAAATTGTTACATCAGCATCAGGTACCTTCTGTCTTTCCTGATGGGGTTCGACCTCCTATTAAAAAAAAGTTCTGATTCCTTTCAGCTAGGCTTCTTGACAGATTTTTCTTTCCTTAAAATACTCTGTTTTGACTACAAATACAGCAGTAAAGATCCCTAAAAGATATTTAACTATGAACATTCACATTAAACAAAATGGAAGAGGTGTGGAGAATAACTCTATAAACAAACAGCAGGGAGAGGAGTATCTAAAACTGCTCCTTTGGTTCACTGATCTTTCTCCTTTTCGGCAGCATATCTTGACTCGACGAGAGGTCAAACTGATGAACCTGCCAAGGGAAAATAAACACTGCGTTATGATTGCTGCGTGGCACAGGCTGTAGCCTGCCCCATGGCATTAACACAATGAATACAGGAAAAGCCCACCCTGAACAAGAGAGCTGCAACACATTGAGAGCTGTGTGTTGAGCATCTGGCCTGACCTTGCTAAGCCTGGAGTAACATCTGGATACTATTTTCTGGCAGAACTGACCCTCCCTCTAAATTTTTCAAGGAAGGCTGGAAGGTATTTGTGCTGTAACAGCAGGACTTCCCGTGTCACAGCTCCAATAACTGTCACAAATAGCTATGGCTGACTCTGCATCCCAGAGGGATTGCAAACCTATTGCCTTTTGGCAAGACATATGAAGTGACCTATGATCAAGGCAGCACATTCTTAAATACAGCTCCAAGAGAAGGTAACCAAGGCTGTTCCCCCTCCACAGAGGCAACACACATGAAGTCCAATTCCTCGAGCAGCTGGGAGCCACCACAGCTGCCCCAACTGCTGACAACACCAAGCCAGGCGGCACCAGGAGGGCTGTGCACAACAGCCGAGCACCCCGTACAACAGGAGAGGGGGCTGAGCACCACATGAGCTTGCCTTACTGAGTTTAATCCAATTATTTCTGACTGGCACACACGTGAAAAGATTACAATTTAGCCCTTTAGCTATGCTGTGCTTTTGATTATTTAAAGCAACTGTGCTTTTTCTAAATTCTTGTATTAAGTTCATTAACAAATTATTTAAAAGAAAGATATGGTGATAGTATACAGAATGATCTTTTTTTCAAATTCACATCAGTAAATAACATAAAAAATACTGCATATGAACCTGGGGCTGCAAGTAAAAAAAATTCTATTCTGCAGTACTTTACAAAAAGCCTGAATCTACTCGTTCTGAATTTAACATCTCCACTTCATGAATTTGTTGCAAACTCCAACAGCCCTTTTCACATGCAGCTTTCATACACAGATATTTTTAAGAGACAGACCAATTTCTCTTCTGTATTTCTTTAGAACATTCTGTTGAGGAATGAATTTTCCATGCTCCCAAGCTTCATTTCCACCAGCCTTTACAGAAACGAGGCAACGATTAGTTTAGGAGAAAACTACTGGCAACGACTGAGCTGCACATTATGCATCCTTACACAACTACTGCCCCAGAAATTAATGAAGAGCTTTCCTGAGCAATGATGGGAAGGGTACAATCTTCCTTGGCCCTGACATGTAATTTTCCCTCCTGACTATAAAATAAGAGCACTTCTTGACTAGAAGGACAGTATTCATCTCACAGCTTTTTCTGAGAGGAACCTACCAGTGACATTCACAAGAGAGATGTTGAGGTCTTGTGAAGGTCCCCTAGAACCTCACAAAGCTGACACTACAAAGCTCAGTTGGTAAAAACAGCAGCAGACAGACAGGTCCTCCCAGTGCCACCCCCAAAGGCCAAATTCCACCCTGAAGACAACGTCTGTTCCACCTGTGCAAGGCTGGAGGGATTTGGCTCCCCACAAGTAGCATCGACTACAAGACACATCTGCTGCAATGTGATGAAGCAAAGAACTAACAGATTTTTCTTGGTATGAATGAGTCATAGGGCCAAGGTTGGAATTTTGGCCTCGTGTTTTCCACCTAACATCACTAGCAAGCATACGGTACACTGGGCTGGGGATCTCTGCTGACACACGCTCCTATCAACAGCAGATTAAACCAGCAGGGAATGTGGCTAAATGCATTCTCAAGAAGATATGAATCAATCCTAATGAATCTTTCTCAACCTGTGTTAACTACATCAGCACTCAGCTTTTAACTCTTTGGAACAGAATTTTTTTTGACACTAAGAATTCAAATGTGTTGAATTTAATAGGAATTTTAGGAATGATGAGAATTTCGTTCTGTCAACATAAAATGTATTAAAGCTTAGAGTTTTATTTACTGCTTGGAACAGAAAAAGGCTTAAAGAAAAACAGAAATAGAAAGAACAGAACTAGAGAAAAATTGGTACTAACAATGCTGGTTTGGAATATCTTTCCACTTCTTGTCCTGCTCTCTGACATATTAAGTTCAGACGTCTTGCTTGCCAAATGATCAACCTAAAAATCAGAAAATAGATGTTGCCCTTCAACATCAGTAAAAAAAATATATATATATACTTTTTTAATATATATACCACAGCCCTTAAGCTGAAATCTAAATACCAGAGTATACCCACTGAAGTCAACAGCACTATTTACAGCTGAATGTGTCAGAGAGTCTTGACAGATCAAAGCATCAGTTATTTTTATGCAGTAAGTCACAAACAGTTATCTAGGGCTGTTCTGTTTTAAGAAATCTTAAGGACCTGTGCTTGAAGTAGTCCTCCCACATTTAAATTCTCCCAATTTGCTGTATGTAGGGAGTATAGCCTGAGTTTGAAGTCTGATTAATAAACCTTCATTTTAAGTTTTAATCAACTTTTAAACAAGTTTTGGAGTGTGAGAATTAGCACATAAAGTTTATTAGACAGAGTGTTTAGTTATGGCAGTTTATAAACATGGAAATTAAGTTCCTGTTTCTCTTAATAGCAGTCAGACTATCTGTTTGGTTTGAAAATGGTATCACAGAGGAACAGCCTTTTATTATTGCTTTTGATTGTGTTAGAATATTAACCCATTTTGTAAAACAATGGAAAGTAAAATATAAAGGCATTTAATTACTGAAAATACTGACTGTGGTAAATAAACCTTTAGCAGATTACTAAGTAATCACTCAAAGTAGGGAAGAAGCTTCATAAAAGCTCTAGCAAAAGTTTAAGACGACAGAGTGGAGTTTTCATACCTGAGGATTAGAAACATACAGATTCTGGTTCCTTCCAGCCTTCGTAACTTCATCTTCACAAGTTACATTTGGTTCTATAAGGAGTTTTTAAATAATAAAGCACATTATTGACAACATACTGGCAGCCTCTTAACACTGATACCTTGCCACAAGGAACACACGCGCTTTATAAATACAGGGAACAGGTGCTTCAAAAGGGCCCTAAGCTCTGTGTGCAGCCAGTCATTAACTCCACCAAGCATTACACGCTCTTACATCTTTAATTCAGTGATTTCCTATCACAGGCACGCAAGAGATGCTCATGCTAGATACTATAGATTTACACACAGGATCTTTGGAAGAATAGGCTCGATCCCCAAACTTGTTTATACACTGTCCTGCTAAAGGCTTGTCTATGTTGGGATTTGCTTTCAAGTAAAAAGCCTCACAAGCTCATTTGGCACTGCAGAGCGGGCAAACGGTGCCGCAGGGCCACTCTGGAAACAGCTCCTGCATATTCTGAACCCACTGCCAGCAGATGGCTGCCATTTTGCAACCAAACCACACACAACCGAGCAACTTTGGCTGCAGTTCCCCTTGTCACTGCCTGCAGCTGTGTGAACAGACCACAAAGAATGAGCAGTCAGTTCTGGAGATTTTTTGTTGTTGTTTTTTCTAATCCATGCTGGTTTTGGCTTGGTTTTGGTTTGTTTTTTTTTTCCTAGGTACAGATCTAACAATGAACTGGTTAAAGATGACTGTGCTTCAGCTGTGGAAATGACTGAAGAATTTCAGGCTGACAAATGCATTTTCCTGTGTCTTGTAGTTCCTGTAAATAAAACATTGTACCAACTCCATAAACAAGCAATTAGCTGTATTTTTGTATGGTTTTGGAACTTAAATGAATTTCTAAAAGCACTAGATAGGGCTTTACGTGGTTATTCCAGTTTTGCAGCCCACTAGCATTGTCAAGATAAAAAATGCTGATCTACACATGCCATTTCCTTTATGTTTCCATAATTATCTTTTAACAGCATGGACATTTTGCAAAGTAGCACATTTTATTTCTGGG